CAGGGGGCGGGGCTGGGGCGGGAGCAGGGGGCGGGGCTGGGGCGGGAGCAGGGGCGTGGCCTTCAGCCTGACAGCAAGAGGAGGGGCGGGGCAGGGAGACGTTTACTGATTCCCGTCCAGGGTGAAGATCTACCTTTGTCAGAGTCAGAAATACCTTGAAAATCACTGATTACGCTTCATTTCACCCTTACTGATTGCCTCATATGAAGCCAGCACTTCATATTTTGTTCTACTGTTTTCCTTTCCGCACACAGCATGTTTTGGAAAATATGCTGCTAATTATAGACTGTGCTGCTAATTATAGTTCAAGTTATGCCAGGCACCGGGCTAGTGGCTTTATGTGCATTTTCTCAAATTTAATGACAGCTAAATCATAGCACTCCTATACCTTGAGGTAGTTGTCATCCCCAATTTATGATGAGGTAATGTACTCAAGAGAGGTGAAGTAACCTGCTGAAAGTCACACAGCTAGTAAAGGTTATTGCCCAAAGTATGTGCCCTTAACCACTGAGCCAGGCCACCTCCACAGTTTAGCCAAGCAATGAGTGACATTGAAGCCACAATAAAAACTATGAACAACAGGAGAAAACATGAGACCCAACGTTTTAGTTAGCCTTTGTAGAGTTATCAAAGGCGTCTAGATACCAGGGGTTCCGTTAGGCTTTATAAACACTTGAAATAGCTCAAAGATCACCATTTCTGCTCAGCCCCCTCCCTCGGGTTTGGAACCCCTCACTGATGGTATCGCCCCTGCCTTTTACAGGTTAGGGCTGAGGCGGTGGAAGGTGGAGTGATGTACACAAGGACACAGAGCTGGTTGAGGACCAAGCCGTGTGTCCCATGTTTCCTGGTTTCCAGCCGAGTTCTCATTCCTCATCATCAGACTGTCTCATGTTTGATCTTTGGCCAGTTTTGAATGACAGGTGACATCAGCCTAGTCCCCAGCCCTGTCCTTTTTCCATGGCTTAACTGGCAGAAGCCAAGAGTGGGAAACTTGCCAAATCCTGCTTAAAACTTGGGAGGCTTTTTTTTTTTTTGTACACAAGACTGATCCTCCTAGGCTTACCCTCCACATGTCCTTTTCTCACACTTCACCCTCTTAACATTTTTAGTGAGTTGCCAGTTAACTTCCAATTAAAAAAAAACTTAAGATATTTGACTTCTTTTGAAAAAAATCACAAGATCTGCCAACCTTAGTGCTAAAATTCCAGATGGTATAGAATAGCAGCTCCTCTCTTTGGAAGGAGGCATGTTAAAAAAAAAAAAATCCAGTTATAAAATAGGCAAAAGACACGAACAGGTATTTCATCAAAAGGAGATACAGATGGCAGATAAGCACATGAACAGATGGTCAGCATCACTATTCCGTTAGGGAAATGCAAACTAAAATCACAGTGAGAGATCAATGCACATTTATTAGAATAGCTAAAGTGAAAAACAGTGATAATACTAAGTGCTGGTGAGGATGGGGAGAAATGGGACTTGTCATACATTGCTGGTGAGACTGTAAAATGGTATAGCTGCTCCATAGTTTGACAGTTTCTTACAAACCTAAACATGCACTTACCATTTGTTGTTAGGTGCCACTGAGTCAGTTCCTACTCATAGCGACTCTGTGTACAGCAGAAGGAAACACTGCCCAGTCCTGCACCATCCTTATAGTCATTGCTATCTTTGAGCCCGTTGTTGTAGCTACTGTGTCATTCCATCTAAAAATTGAGGGTCTTCCTCTTTTTGGCAGACTCTCTACCTTACCAAGCATGATGTTCTTCCTCCACAGACTGGTCCCTCCTGATAACACGTCCAAAGTACGTGAGACAGAGTCTCACCATCCTCGCTTCCAAGGAGCACTCTGGCTGTGCTTCTTCCAGGACAGACTTGTTTGTTCTGGCAGTCCGTGGTATATTCAGTATTCTTCGCCAGCACCATAACTTAGATGCATCAATTCTTCTTCAGTCTTCCTTGTTCATAGTCCAGCTTTCCCATGCAAATAAGGGGATTAAAAATACCATGGCTTGGGTCAGGGGCACCTTAGTGCTCAAAGTGACATCTTTGCTTTTCAACACTTTAAAGAGGTCTTTTGCAGCAGATTTGCCAGTGTGATGTCATTCGATTTGACTGCTGCTTCCATGGGCATTGATTGTGGATGCTTCCAGCATCACAGCAGCATGCAGGCCACCCACAGTATGACAAACTGACATACGTGTGGTGAGCACTTACCATACAACCCAGCAGTTACATTCTTGGGCATTTATCTGGAGAAATGAAAACTTACGGTCTGTCTGGTGAAGCAGTTTTCATATAGGAAGTACCAGGGTAAGGTATTGGAGAGTTGGATAGGATTGGAACAGAGGAGTGATGTGTGAAAGCAGTGTGGTGTAATTGGGCTCAGAGCAGGTGAAGGAATGAAGTGAGAAAGGGAGTCTGGAGACAGGCGCCTTTAGGTTGCTGCTATAGGTGGATATGAAGGGCTTCCATCCTGGCACGCATTGGTGACTGATTATAGAATTAGGAAGGCATCAGTGGATCAGGCAGGTTTGAGGAGCAAGGCAGAGCTCTGGTGACTGGAGAAATGACATCACCACTGCCTGACAAGTAGGCTCTTTCCCAACACACCCCAGCCCCACCATGGCTGCACTCCCATCTGTTTCTTTCCGAACGCTTGTACTCCTATTTCCTTTCCTAACAGAGTGGGCTGCCCACCAGATTCCTAAGAGCAGGGCTTCGAACCAGTTCGAACTCCTGCTGAGAATTTGCGTTTCCACCCCAGATATACTGAAGCAGAATCTGCATTTTAACAGGATCCCCAGATTATTCTCATGTATGATAAACTTTGAGAACCACTGCTCCACTAATGGTTCTCAGAATTGGTCCCTAACCAGCAACATTAGCATCCCCTGGGAACTTCTTAGCAATGCAGCTTCTCAGCAGGGGTTCAAACCAGAACGAACTGGCTGGAAGCCCTGCCTAAGAGGCAGAGACAGGCAGGCAGGATATAATAACTCAGCTCCCAGGACACTCCTGGTTACACACCCTTGCCTGCAAAAGCAACCTGAGGTCACTGCCAAGTGAAGGGTGTGACTGTCGACCCCGTGCTCCTGCCCAACTACAGGTCCTGGTAACCATCTAGTAGCTCCAGCCACGGTCTTTGCAGAGAGAGCTGTCTCATAATCAGGAATCTCCAAGAATGTGCCGGCGGGGTGGAGCGGTGTGCCCACTGCAGAACTCAGAAGTTTGGACCTCCTCACTAATACCCAGTGTGCTGTGTTGGGCTGTGTCTCTGGCTGCAGTGAACTGACGGAGTTTGAGGAGAATAATTCTGAATAATCAGAGAGAAAGGCAGGATGGCTGGAGCCCAGGACAAGCATCAAAACCCGATTTGGCTGTGTTTTTATTGGCTCTTGATGTTGACAGTGAGGACCTTGCGCCATGCTACCTTTTTTCCCTTTTCCCTTTACTTGGTCCTTCTAGGCCCGATGCTCACTGTGCGTTCTTTTTCCCTCACAGGCAATTTTTACCCAGAAAAACAAGCTGCTGCCTGGCCTGTTGGACAGTAGACGCTGCCAGGGCTTCCGGCTGGAGGAGTATCTTATAGGGCGATCCATCGGCAAGGGCTGCAGTGCTGCTGTGTACGAAGCCACTGTGCCCACGGTGCCCCAGAATTCGGAGGGGGCAGAGAGCAGCGGGCTGCTGACAGGAAGAGGCCCAGACATCATTCCACAAGGGGAAACTGAGGAGAGCATGGCCCAACCCCCTGCCTTTCCCTTAGCAATCAAGATGATGTGGAACATCTCGGTAAGGACGTGGCCTTTCACCTTTGAAGTAGGCATTTCTCAAATGCCAATCTTAGTGAACCTGATGGACTTCTCTTCAGTGAACAGATAGGAAAAGACAAATTCTCCACAGTAAAGGTGCCTAGATAATTAGGTTTCTTCATCCTCTTACACAAGAGAGTCTGAGGCAGTGTGTCTGAAATTTTAGTATGTCCATCAGGGTAAAGGGCAGATTCTGACTCAGTGGGTCTGGGCTGGGGCCTGAGATGCTGCATTTCTAACAGGCGCCCCGGTGATGCTGACGTGGCTGGTCTGTGAACCACACTTTAAGTAGCCAGTGCCTCACCATTGGTTCTAACCTGTTAGTCACAGCCCATCAGTTAATTTCAGGTCTGCAGTTGCACCACCCTCTCTGGTTCCCATGACCTGGCTCACTGGAGAGGAGCTGCCGCACTCCTTTCCTTTAAACCCACCCTTCACTCCCACCTCCGGACCAAAGGCTTCCCATCACCTCCCTGCTCTCACAGAGGGTCTCAAGGCTTTGGGAACTTGAAGAACATTCTCCCACACAGAAACATAAAGCTTTCTGTCTCTTCAGTTTCTTTACCTTGCCATTGCACAGGTGGGTTAGGGAATTGATCAAAACCTGATGGTCTTTCTCCTGCGCGGAGCAGTCATCCCAGGCTAAGGTGGCAAACAGCCACAGCAGCCGGGCTGGACACGGAGAGTGCAGGTTCTGGTTCTGGTTCTGGTTCTGTGAATGGAAGTTGTAGACTGCTGCACTTCCAAGCTGGGCTACTAGCTACCGCGTAGCTAAATGCTTTGCCTCTGAAACACCCTGTCTTAGCACCAGAATTCTCGCTGGTCGGGACGACGGTGAGTCAGTGGCAGCTATCGCATTCACAACAGGTAAAAGACTGGATGGTTGTTTTGGAACATTTGATTGTGCTTTAGGTGAAAGTTGACACAGCAAATTAGTTTCCCATTCAATAATTCATACACAGATTGTTCCACAACGCTGGTTACAACGCTTGCAGTATGTCAGCACTCCCCCTTTTCAGCCTGGGTTCCCTGTTCCCCTGCCCCTCTCTGCCGTCTCGTCTTTGTTTTTGGGCAAATGTTGCCCTTTTGGTCTTGTATAGTTGATTGTTCTACGGAGCACATTCTTCACAGGTGTTAATGTTTATTTTATAGACCAGTCTATTATTTGGCTGAAAGGTGGCCTCTGGGATTGGCTGCAGTTCCAAGTGTGAAGGGTGTCTTAGGGCTGTAGCCTTAGGGGTTCCAAGATTGTGGATTCTTATAGGAGCTTTTCGATACTTATCCAGGTTTCGTAAGTCCTGAGAGCCGTTCTTAATAGAGTGAGAAATACAAGGTGTTTTCCCCCCTCCTTGGTTTTTGTGTGCTTGTTTGGGATGGGGCTGGGAGTGGCTGCTCTGTGATTCAGTACAGCTTTATCTAGGGTGGAGTTTGTCAGGCTGTGGCCTGTCCGTTTAGAGCCTGTGGTAACCAGGGGCATCTCTGGCAAGGAGGAAGTGTCCATGCCCTGACCTTCATCTTGACAGCTGCCGAGAGTCTGAGGTGTGGGAAGAGTCCCCTGAGTTGGTATGGATGGCACCTCTACCTTCTCTGTCTCCCAGGAGTTCCTGGTCCTGGCTTGCCATTTCAGAGAGGCTATCTTCTCTTGAAGGTCCAAGCCAATTCTAGGCAGTAGCTGTCCTGGTCCAGGTTACAGGAGGGCTTGGAGCTTGCCATTCCACTCGGGTTTGTGTAACTCTGGATTCATTATGGATATGTTCCAGGCGGGCTCTTCCAGCGAGGCCATCTTGAGCACAATGAGCCAGGAGCTGGTCCCAGCTAGCCGAGCAGCCTTAGCCGGGGAGTATGGAGCAGTCACTTACAGGTAGGTGCCTTCGGTCTGTTGGCCCTCCAGACTGTGAGTTCTCTGAGAACAAAATAACCATCTGAGTCCCCACCACTCAGCACAGTGTCTGATGCTCAGTAGATAATAAAGTCTTACCGAATGACTTAGTTAATGGTAGATTTTCAGTTGGTGGATAATTTAGCTTGGGAAGGACTGCAAATCATCTGATTCCAATTGACGATGCAGATGGTTGATTCACGTTGGAGCAGGGGCAAGAAGGCCATCTAAATGTGCCCGATTCAGAGTGTTGGAAAACTGATCTGACTCCTTCTTGGAAGGGTGGGAACTGAGTGATGCACAGGTGGAGCACCACCTAGTGCTACAAACTGAACTGTCCCCACAGGCGAGAAACACTGATTCCACTCATAGTTACAGAGAACCTGCGGGTGCCAAGTACTGTTCCAGGTGCTTGCAGCTTGCAACACAGATATTTTTTTAAAAAGAAAGAAAAAATGTTCTGTACTCCAGGAGTTCTCAGTGTGGCACAGGAGCTGGACAAGTCCAGAGCAGCGCAGTGTAGTAAGTGCTAGGACAGCAGATGCTCAGGGTGCTGAGTGCTTACTGTGTTACACATGAGCCTATTTTCCAACTGTTGTATCTAATACTGGCCTCGTATGTTTCCCCACTTGGCTGAAATAGAAGATCCAAGGGAGGTCTCAAGCAACTGGCCCCTCACCCCAACATCATCCGAGTTTTCCGTGCCTTCACCTCGTCTGTGCCACTGCTGCCGGGGGCCCTGGTCGACTACCCTGATGTGCTGCCCCCACGTCTCCACCCTGATGGCCTGGGCCACGGACGGACACTTTTCCTCGTTATGAAGAAGTAAGTGGCGGGGTATGGCTGGACCCTGGAGCTGCCTCATCTTTAGAGAGGGCACTGAGCCCTGCCCTCCCTGTGTGCACATGGAGCTTTCAGGGAAGAGGAACGTCACTCTCTGGGAGAAGGTCAGGCAGTGGGAGTATGTCTGCCCTAGAGAGCAGTTTCCCTTGAGGATGATTTCTCATGAAACAAAACCTCATCTTCAGCCAGAACATGCTGTCCTGTGCTTTTCGCCTAGTGCTTTTGGAGCATTTGACTGTCGTTCCTTCTCTGCGGCTTGCCTTACCTGGTTTTCAACATAAAAATAGTTCTCCTTCATCACTCTCTGTATCCTCTAACATTACTGCAGTGGGTGTTTTAAGAAAATGCACTGTTACTTTCAACATGTGGAGTCCTTTGTAATTTCAGGATGATGGGTGGGTGAGGACAGAAAGGATATTTGGGAAAAAAAATAAAAAGTTCCAGGAAGGAGAAGAGGAGCAGCCACCATCCTGACAGTACACAAGGTGCTAGGGTCCATTGATGCGCTCTCGATAGCCCAAGGCCCTGTCCGCTCTCCACCAGCTATCCCTGCACCCTGCGCCAGTACCTTCGCACAGCCACTCCAAGCCCCCGCCTTGCCACCATGATGATCTTGCAGCTTCTGGAAGGGGTGGATCACCTGGTTCAACAGGGCATCGCACACAGAGACTTAAAGTCTGACAACATCCTCGTGGAGTTGGATGCAGGTGAGTACCCCCTCGCCCTCTCGGAGCAATCCGGGGTGCACTAGACTTACATCAGGGAACGTTTAGGACCCTTCAGACCTTTTTGGATTTTATGTTATCATAAGTCGTTGTGTCTTAGCTGCGTACACAGAAATGAGCACCATCTCCTTCAAAGTACAGGCTCTTGTTCTCTCTGTGGATTTGTTCAGGGTAGTTAACACTTCTAGGTTCCTTTCTGCTGCCCACTTACAGAACAAAAACCTCAGTGGTGGAAGTGTTCTTTAATAAGTAAAAAGAAGAAGAACTTCAGCTCAATTTAAGAAAAGAGTCTTCAAACAGTGAAAGCTGTCCAAATGTAAGCACAGCTGCCCCTGGAAATAATGAGTTGCTCATCACTGGAAGCTTTCAGGTAGAAGCTGGATTACCATTTGTCTGGTGATATGATGAAGGAGAGTCATACATCTGATAAAATTTGAACTAGAAGATTTTAAATAGCTACATAGTCAGTTAACTTACTGAAGGAACTGGCTTTTAAAGGAGCTCTGTGGATCCTTTTATAGATAACTAATTCTAAATGTCTGCTTCTTAGACTTGGAATTGGGAGTTTCAAGTTCAGATCAAAGACTCGTGGGGTGTAAGGGCCCTTAGAGTTCATTTGAGCCAAGCCCCATCTAATGAGTAAATTGTGAGCAGCTTTGGTCTTGGGACAGCTCCAATTACTAGAAAATTACTTAGATTGAGCAAAACTTTTATACAGCAGTTATTCGTTTGCAGCCTTTAATTCCTGGGGGCATTTCCATATTCATGTACTGACTCTCCTGTTCAGCATTCTGGTGAGGGGTCTCCCATACAGGCCTTGCTGCTCTGCACTCCTGAGCCAACAGAATCCCTATTAGCCCCTCTCACCTGTGTCTTGGTGGTGGCTTTAGTGGGGACACAGGAGCACCTTTAAAAGGGAAGGAGGGGGAGGAGACTCAACCACTTACTTCTGCCTATTCCCCCTGCAGATGGCTGCCCCTGGCTGGTGATCACCGATTTTGGTTGCTGCCTGGCGGATGAGCACATCGGCCTGCAGTTGCCCTTCACCAGTTGGTATGTGGATCGGGGCGGAAACGGCTGCCTGATGGCTCCCGAGGTGAGTCCTGCTGCGTGTGTCGTCCTTCATCAGCACAACTTCCACCAAGTCTCCCATGAAATGATAGGATGAGACTTGACACCTCATTATATACTCCACGCCTCCATCTTTTCTGATCTGTAATTTGGCACCAGTCCCTTCTCGGCCACTTTGCCTTAATCTGGATCTCCCTCATGCTCCTGGGAGGTGGGAGTTGTATGAGCATAAACCAGGCAGCCTCAGCAGCTTCTTCTGGGTTTGAGCCACAACCGGCTCAAATGCTGGGCTCCCTGGACAGAGTTCAGGTTAGCCCGTGGGTCAGGTGATGTGCGAAAACATAAGTAAGGTTAGAAATACCAGCAGCATGACTGCCCATCCGTTGCTTTCCGAGCAGGTGTCCACGGCCTGTCCCGGCCCCCGGGCAGTGATCGACTACAGCAAGGCAGACACCTGGGCAGTGGGAGCGATCGCCTATGAAATCTTTGGGCTCTCCAATCCCTTTTATGGCCAGGGCCAGGCCCACCTGGAAAGCCGCAGTTACCAAGAGGCTCAGCTGCCAGTACTGCCCGAGTCGGTACCTCTAGATGCGAGACACCTGGTGAGGTCACTGCTCCAGCGAGAGGCCAGCAAGGTGAGGCTGGTCCCACACCTTCCAGGCTCTGCAGGTTGTGTGGATGGAAAACTCAGTTCCCAGGTGAAGGCCAGGTGTGGGCAAGCACTACAGGGATAGACAGACAGACAGCCTCAATCTTACAAAGGTGAAGGCCAATTACAATAGTACAATATACTCTATGTGTTAAATAGGTGTCGGGGAGCTAGCCACCAAATCATTAGTCAGAAACCTAGCAATTTAACTCTTCTTGACTTTTTAGCTGCTTAACGTTACTCTCAGAAGGAGCCCTGGTGGTCCAACGGGTAAGCACTCGGCTGCTAACTGAAAGGCCGGTGGTTTGAACCCACCCAGCAGCTCCGCAGGAGAGAACGACCTGGCCATCTGTAAAGATTACAGCCTAGAAAACCCTATGGGGGCAGTTCTATTCTGTCACCTGGGGTTGCTGTGAGTCAAAATCGACTTGACGGCGCCTAACAACAACGTTACTCACCGGGAGAAGGATGTATTTTTGATTAAATGTTTAATGAGGAAGAAGCTTATGGAAACAGCTGAGGCCTAGTCAGACAGACAGATGGGGAAACATCTCCCAAGAACAGATCTGGTCATTTTGAAATTACTATAAGGGACTATAAAGGCTACTGTATTTGAAGCCATAATTGGAGGGGCAGGCCCAGTTCCCGTGGCATGCTTAGTGGAAAGAGCCTAGAGACAGACCTGGGTTCAAATCACCATTCTACCACTTCTCACTCACTGTACATAGCTTGCTATCTTGGTTACAGTAGCTGCTCAATGAAGGTTTGTTAAAATAGCAACTGCTACCATTAAAAGAAATGAGACAGCTTACCTAACTCCAGGACAAGGGACAAGACAGTATCGTATACAGGAGACACGGGAACCTGCCATGATGGGGAAGGCTATTCCGAGCAAGGCACACAGCCCCCGTACAAGTTGTACATGTGGAAAAGCCTGGAGCCTGGGTAGAGAGCAGCCAGTGTATGGCAGTTTAGTGAAGGGTACTGGGAGGAGAGAGGTAAGGGTGGAGGAAGAAGTTGGTTGGGGCCAAAATGGAAGAGAACCAAAGACCCTGAAGTTAACAAAGTAGGTTGTAGCCAAAATAGTTTGTTGTAGACATTCTAAATTTCAACTTCCCTTCTTGTTTCAGAGACCATCTGCCCGAGTAGCTGCAAATGTGCTTCATTTAAGCCTCTGGGGTGAACACATCTTAGCCCTAAAGAATTTGAAATTAGACAAGGTGGTTGGCTGGCTCCTCCAACAGTCAGCTGCCGCTTTGCTGGCTGACAGGTTCACGGAGAAGAGTTGCGTGGAAACAAAAATGAAGATGTTATTTCTGGCCAACCTGGAGTGTGAAGCCCTCTGCCAGGCAGCCTTCCTCCTCCAGTCCTGGAGGGCAGCCCCGTGATGGCTCTGCATGTAGCTGAATTACTAAAAGAACTTAGCGGCATCTGTGTCATGATGGTCTGAGTGCTGAGGGAGGGGGCTCTGAGGTGCGAGAGGGTGAGAGTCAGAAGAGATGGCACAGAGGGCTGGTCAGCCCCAGAGAAGGCCTCATGCTTGGCAAGTGTGGAAGGAACAATTTGAGTCAAAGTCCCTGGTCTGTAGCTACTAACTAGCTGTGCAGTTTTGGATGAATCCTATAACTGGTGTAGACTAAAGTTCTCTTATCTGTAAAGTGAAGAAATTGGTCTAAATCAGGAGTCAGCAAACTTCTGTAGAGGGCCAGACAGTAAATACTTTAGCCTGTCACAGCTACTCAACTCTTAACATTGTAGCATGAAAACAGTCTTAAATATGTAAACGAACAAGTGTGGCTGTGTTCAAGAAAACTTTATGGACACAAATTTGAATTTCATGTGTAACAAAATATTTTTTTCATTTCTTCAACCATTTAAAAATGTGAGAAACCGTTTTTAGTTTGTTGGCCATACAAAAACAGCCAGCAGTCTGGATTGGCCAGGAGACCATAGTTTGTCAGCCCCTGGTCTAGATGAGTTCAAAGAACACAACTCAAAAAAAAAAAAAATTGCCAGCTCATCATTAGGCCCCTTTGTGTATCAGTGCTTAAATGTGATTATCCCTGTGGAGAAGCCAAAGTCCTAGGTGAGCAGATCCACTCAGGTGTAATTGCTGACCAAACGCCCTGTCTTACACCCATGTTCTGTCCTCACAGACCTCTGGAAAGTTTCTAATGACTGAGCTGGTCTGTTAGATGAGCCTGGTCTGAGGAGGTTTATACCACATATGTTCCACGCTATCGACCAAGGCAGTGGCTGTTAATGGCAGAGTTCTACTGTGACATTTGCCCGTAGGTCCAGGAACAGCCTGTTGCTCGTGTGAAAGGGGCAGACACATCACCAGTTTGCGAACATCATCTGGGCTGAGGCAGACATTTGCACAGGTCAGTATAGTCAAGTGCCAGAATGAAACAACAGTGAAGTGAGGCCTGAGAAGCAGGCGCCTCTGCACTTGTTAGGCACTGGAACACCACTAGGGGTACAGCATTTTTGTGAAAGCATTTCCACAGAGCTCCTCCAGTGACTGGCTCTAGCACAGCTGTCATAACTGATGAAATGGAAACTGTGTGGTGTTTTAAACTCGATCTTCCTTTTAACTTGCATTTCTTACAAGAATTAAATACAAATTTACAACTACAGAATGCACATGTGCCTTAAACTGAGTATCTGGCTTTAAGAGTGATTTTTACTATACCGTAGAGACCAGAAAGGTTTGTGGGTAGATAGATAGATACCAACAATGGGGAAAGGACTTCACATATAATTCTACACATGCTTTTCTAGGACCAGAGCCCTGGTGGTGCAGTGGTTAAGAGCTGAGCTGCTAACCAAAAGGTCAGCTAGTTCTAAATCCACCAGCCGCTCCTTGGAAACCCTATGGGGCAGTCCTACTTTGTCCTATAGGGTCGCTACGAGTTGGAATAGACGGTAATGGGTTTTTTTTAGGACCACAGCTATTGCCTAAAGCAAGCAAGGTGAACGTATATTTAAGGTTCTTTTCAAACAGGTAATTCTACAATTTTATTATAAAGCCAAGTGCTGTCATCCCAGGTTTTCTGTTTCAGTGATGCTCCCCTCAATGCATTATTAGCCCTATTTTATCCCTTGAGAAGCTAAGAAGTTCTAGCATTTCATAATTATTAAGGAAAATACCGTTCAGCCTTTGGCAAAATAAAAAGCAGCCACTTACTACTTCCAGTCATTACCAAACAGCATCCCCCTGCTAGCAAAAAAACAGGCCAGATGGAAGTTTGAGGGCAACGTTTCTCTTTATTTTAGAAATGAGTGACTTCACATATGAAAAATGCCCTTTAACAGTTCAAGGTGGAAAACCTTAGGTAAAAAGTGTTCCCTGACCCCCAACCATTGGTACTCAATGCTGCATCTCCCACTGAGGTAAGGCTGTGCCATTGTCCCACGGCTTAAAAAAAAAAAAAAAAAAAAAGGGAAACTAAAAATAAAAACCCTCTTTCTCCAAGCAGTAGGAGTACCAGGGCTCTGGCCTCCTAGTCAGACTTCTCTTTCTCCTTCATGTGCAAGAAGACGATGCTGAAGATGAAGAGCCCCGCCATCATGGAGAAGGCACTGGCGTAGTAGGGGTAGGCAGAGGGGATGAAACGCTCATACTGCGTGTGCTGCAGTGGCCTCACTGACACCTGCAACAGGACAGAGGTGGTCGGGCCTGGCCACCAAGAAGCCCAGGCAGGGGGCACGCTGGCTGAAAATGGAGACCAGCCCCTGTGCTTACCTGAGTGGAAGAGTACAAGTGTGTGTAGCCGAGCCGGTTGTAATCCACTTTAAACTGGAACACACCATACACATCGGGCAACTTGAACTGGACGCTGTACTTGCCACCTAGGGAAGAGTCAACAAATAACAAGGAGGGGTTTCTCAGAGTGTTTCTCTGTTGGGCCTCATGAGAGCAAGCAAGGGGTGGGGACCATCTTCCAGTAACATTATCTTGCAAAAGTTGCATGTACCTTTCTTCTTCAAGAAGGTCCTCACAAAGGGATCAATGCGGACAAATTCCAGCTGAATGTCATCACCATCAAAGGGTACCCATCTGCCGTTTGAGAGCTGCTCAATCACAATGCTATACTCCTGGGATAAGAGGCCAGGTGAGCCCAGGAGCCGTGACTGGATGGTGCCTCCACCCCCAGTCAGAGCTGCACTGATTCCCACTCCATGAACATGGCAAGAATCCCCAGGAGTTCTGGAAAACTGCTAAAACTCCTACCACCCACTACTAAGCACAGACTGACGACACTACTCACAACAGATTAACTCATCTGACTCCACATCTATGCCTTTTTCACTAGTTCTAAATTCCTTGCCACAGTCTTCAAGGCCCATCAAAGCACAGATACAAACCACTCGCCATTCCCATAATATGCTGGCACTTTCAAGCACCCGTGCTTCCATATACACTACTCTCTGGCCTTTCCCCACTTCTCTGGCAAATTCACCCCGGAGACCCAACTCAAATACTCCTTCTCTTGTGAACCCAACTGCCCTAGAGAGCTGTAAGTGCAGACCCTCCTGCCTCTGCATCCCACTGCAAAACACACTCCTCAAGAGAAGGTAACCTGTGAGGATATCAGTTACGTGCCAGGCTCTCTGCACCTAACTTTCTTAGAGAGTAACTTGTTATCCTTGTTTATACCCCTTAGGCCAACGTGCAAGTGTTCAGTAAATGCTTCTGCACTAAGTGGAATCAACTTGGCCAAACCCTCAGGCCCTCCCCCTCCAAGAAGCTCTTACCACTAGGTCGGTGACAGTGTAGGCGTTGGGAGGGGCTGTCTCGCCCACCCGATGATGGGACACAGGCCCCACACGGAGGACACCCTCCTCCTTGAACACCCAGCGGGACAGGGCCTCAGCTAGCTCATAGTTGCCTGTCTGGGAATACCTGCATAGGGGAAAACAGGAGAGGCTAGTACACCAGAACCAACTTCTTCCCCGAACTGCACTAAGCTGCGATCTGCCTGTGAGCTAGACGTACCTAGGTACCTGTTACAGACTGAACTGTGTCCCCCAAAAATATATGTTGTAAATCCTAACCTCTATGCCTGTGGCCATTTGGGAATGGGTTGTCTTGTTATGTTAATGAGACAGGATTAGTGTGTGTCTTAATCTCTTTTGAGATATAAAAGAGATTAAACAAGCAAGGAAGAGAAGCAGAGACGGGGTAAGATAGATGCAAGACACATGGAGATCTCCAAGGAACCAAGAAACAGAAGCTGAAGGACAAGGACTATCCCCCAGAGCCAACAAAGAAAACCTTCCCCTAGAGCCAGCACCCTGAATTTGGACTTCTAGCCTCCTAAACTAGGAGAAAATAAATTTGTTTTGTTAAAGCCATCCACTTGTAGTATTTGTTATAGCAGCACTAGATAACTAAGACAGTACCCATGGTCAAAGGGGACACAGAAAACATGCAAAAATGTCAAATGGGTTTGCTATGGGTGTTACCTGCACGGTAATACACAATTTTCTAAAAGGAATGGTAGTGGCGGCGGAGGGGGCGGGGGGGTCTCTAGATAGGCCATTACTACCTTGGGAAGTTTAGAGTGACAACACCAGCAAAATAACAACAAAATCTTGAAATAGTTCCAAGTGCGTAAGATACTTAGCCTCTAACACTTGAAGCTAAGAGGCTCCTTCCCCCACATCTACACCTCCCTGTGTACACAGACCCTACCACCCAGACCACATGCTCCTGAGCCTCCCGGGACCCACCTCTGGGAGCCAGGTGTGGCCTTCTGCACGGCTGAGTTGAAAAAGGCATCACTGAAGAAGTCAAGGGAGCCGCTGAAGATGACCCGGGCATTGTTCCTCGCCTGCAGCCCAGCAATCAGGAGGGTGTTCTTCCCCACCGCATGGGGATACTGGGAACAAAACAAGGCCGTCATCCAAGGAGTGCAGGTAAAGGAAAGGCAGCTGGGCCACCAGAGCAACAGGACAGTGGGCTAGATCTAAACAACCTTTACCCAGGCCCTACCTGAGGGAAGAACCTGAGATCACCTCACTGCTCTACCCACTTCCCATTGCTACCAACTTCTCGTTTCACTGGCTAGGCAAAGTGGGCCTTCCTGCTCAGTCCTCACTTTCAAATAAAGCACTCTGTTACTGGGTCCAGGAGCTGGAGGCCTCAAGGCTATAATGGCTCCTCACCTGGGTGATGGGTTTATCCGGGAAGAAGGAGTAAGAGGTGGAAGAGCCTGTCAGGATGTCCAGTACCAGAGGATTGTCAGGATCGGCCACCATCCTGCAGAAGGAAGAGAAAACAGCCCCACACTAATCCCAAGAACGGAGAGCCCAAAGGATCTGGGATCCCCTAAGGGCCATTTCTTCCCAGGAATGAATCCTTCTTTCTTAACAGCCAAACACTTAGCTCTTCTCTTGCTGTAACAATGGAGTCTGACTCAAGGTCAAAATTTAATCTCATTCATATCCTCTGGGGAAAAGAATGCCCCTAAATAATCACAGGTGACAAAAGGTTTGTTCCCCAGACTTCTGCTGGCCTCCCCTTGCTCACTCACCCAACGCCTCGGAAGAGGATGGGATTAAGAGGTGATTTCCCAACAATGGTCGGGGCCTTCAGCAGGTTCTCAGTGTCAGCCACAATGAGCGTATGCTGCAAAGAGCAGAAAGGAAGACGGGAGGTCAGGAAAAGGCTCCCCTGAGCCAGGGAGTCCCTCTGAGCAAAGCTGCACATGCCTGAAGCCAGGAAGGTGAAAGAGGAGGCCTGGTTACCTGGCCAAGGTCTGAGACGTCATAGTTGTGATGGTCAATGACTGCTGTCTTCTCCTCATCAAACTCGATCCCACATTCACTGCCCAGCTCTCGAAGAGGGTCACCTGCACAAACCAAAGAGATGCCTGGCTGAGCCCTTACCGATAGGCCCTGGGTCAAGCAGGGTCACGTGTTCTAGCCTCTTCAGGACTCTACCGTTCAGCCTAGACCCCCACAGCTTCCCCAGCCGACCCCTGGAAAACAGCACAGATCCTGCCTTCACAGGTCAGAATCTCAACTGATAAAACAAGAACAAGCAGCTGGCCCTCTCCTTCCACACACAATGACCTTGGTTCTGCTAAAAAGCTCCCTGTGAAGCAAAGTAATTACCTCAGGCAAACCTGACCGGGATGAGCCTGGGCTTACAAAGTTTCTCTCTTCCTCATCATCTCCCCACCAAGAAAGCCACCCATTATGAGGAATGTGGTTTTTAAAAAATCTGTCAATACTGAAAAATATGAAACAAGATTGGTCAGGTACTGTTAATTGTTGAAGCAAGGGGACAAGTACATGGGGATTCTCTCTCTACTTCTGAACATCTTTGAAAATTTCCAAAGTAGAAAACAAAGCAAAAATCTGTCAAATGAAGGCTTTGGGTTCCCTGTAATTAGCCTTCCGCTAGTTGCCTTCTTTTTGTAAAGGAAGAGCCACCCAAAACAAACAAACCCCAGGGTTCGCAGCTCTCGAAGGATTAGCATTTCACTGGCTCTGGCTACCAGAAAGCACAGGAGGGCCTGGCTGGGGCTGCAGTTCCCTTGCTGACCACTGGCCAAAGCCCGCCCAGTGAGTGCCAATGTGAAGCTTCCATCTGTAGAAGACTTCATTTGTAAAAGCTCTTCCAGCTCCCTGGAGAAACGATGGAAAGCACCAGAACTTCCCAGGGCAGACTTACCAATGTCTGAGCTGGCAGCTACCAGGACGCTGCCGCCACCGTCAATAAAGGCACTGATGGTCTCCACGTTGATGTTGCCCCCAAAATCTGAAAAAAGGCACCAGACACAATGACCCTGCAGGTATCGACTCTCTGCTCCTCTGACACTTGAGCGTGAAGGTGAGCGGCCAACCAGGCACTCAGTTACAGAATAGCGCCCTCTAGAGGCCCAAAACAAGACGGACGGTTACCACCTGTGCCCAGATAAAAGGCAATTTCCCATTTTCCCAGTATGAAGATCCAAAACGAACGGTTCAACAGGTGTACACGAAATAGTCAAACATCTACTGATTATATTTGCCTGATTATGAATGTTTAAAGTCATATATAAATATTAATTTAGAACTGTCTCATTTTCCCACTCACATTTCATGGAACGATTTTATTCAAATACATCACCACAGCTTTAACACCAGAATCTTTGTCATCACTAGGGCCAATCACCTAACAGTTTTTCAGAGCCCATCAACTTCACTCCCATCAAAGCTGCTTGAGAAAGAGCATTTTTCGATCTGTGGACGATGCTGTCACTTGATACTAGTACTTATTCGCCAGACACGAGTAGAGCTCTTTTCTATTAATCCTACATGTGTCTATCCATGACACCCATAACAGAACCAATCAGTATACTGCTTTGTAAAAACAACCCCCACAAAGGCTCATTAATTTCCAGCATTTGCAATTGCCGCATCATACCCTTCTGGGTCAATCAATTCGGCCAGGTGACTGACACCAGCATCCAAAACTAGCACTGAGTGGGGCTGTCTTAGGCTCAAATCTTCCCCACAATGCATCCTGATGTTCAACATAAAGAAATGGAAGGAGTGATTGGTAATTCATTAATTCATTAAATGAGTAATTATGTGTTGTGCACTGAGAGGAAAAATAAAGCAGGCAATGAAAGGCAGCAGCTATTATACAAAGGCTGGTTAGAGAAGACCTCAGATAAGTGACATTTGAGAAGACATGAGAGTGAGCCAGGTTGTATGTCAGTAGGAGTACTCCAGACAGAGAGCAACAGGTACAAAGTCCCTGGAGGGAAGAGAGGGTAAGCATGTTCACCAGCAAAGAGGCCAGTGTGGCTCAACTGGAGAGCGTGAAGGGGCGAGGAGGCAAGTAGCAGGTGAGGCCGCAAGGAGGATAGTTCACGTACAGCTTTGTAAGTCACGTGAAGTTTTGGCCATGGGAAGCCACTGGAGGATTTTGAGCAAGAGGGTGACGTGACCTAATTTATATTTTTAAAGGATGACTCTGGCTGCTGGGTACAGGGGGTGAGGGTAGAAGCAGAGAGACTGATGGGTTAGAAGCTACCAGACAAAGGCAGCCACCTCAAGTGCCCATCTGTCAGTGGAGGTTTGTGTGTTGCTTTGATGCTGAACAGGTCTCAGTGGAGTTTGCAGAATAAGACGGGTTACAAAGAAAGGCCTGGCAATCTACTTCCGAAAATCAGCCAATGACAAACTATGGATCACAATGGTCTGATCCATAATTGATTATGGGGATGGCGCAGGACCGGGCAGCAATCATTCGTTGTGCATGGGGTCGGCATGAGTCGGCATGAGAAAGCAACTCGCAACAACAACAGCCCAAGGCAGCAGCGGCAGAGGAGGGGAGAAGGGGTGGGATTCTGCAGGTACACTGAAGGTAAAGCCAGCAGGACTTGCTAATGGACTCAATGTGTGGTGTGAGAAGAGAGGCATTAAGGACGGCTCCAAGTTTCTGGCCTGAGCAACTAGAAGGATGAAAGCACTATTTACTGAGGTTGGACACAGAAATCTGTCCATCTGACATCCATTATGCAGTTGGAAATGAGTCCATAATATGACTTTATAAAGATACAAATATGAGAATGGCCCTCTTTTCTGAGGGGCAATTTTCAGGAAAAAAAAAGAAAACACCTGACCTTCAGCCACAGATAGAACATCCTGTATCTGGGGACTCCACCTCTCAAGTGACATTTAAATCTACTTATCCACTCTCCTACAGGGAGGCCAGCCAGAGCCTTAGAAAATTCAACAACGTCTTCTTAGTATAGTGCAATGGCTCTCAACTGGGGTGATTTTGCCTCCAGGAGATATTTGGCAATGTCTGTAGACGTGTCTGGTTGTCACAACAGGGGGTGGGGAGCTGGTGGCTACTGGTATCTAATGGCTAGAGGACAGGGATGCTGCTAAACAGCCTACAGTGCACAGGACAGCTCCCACAGCAAAGAATTATCTGGCCCAAAATGTCAAGAGCACCGCTTGTTGAGAAACTCTGGTATGTAAGAACACAGGCTTTGAAATTAAAGACGGCCTGGGATTAAACCTAGGCAAATCCCTTCACCATTCTGAGCCCATGTCCCGATCTAAAAACCAGGGACCTGGTTTCTGCCTGACATAGAGGATGTGCTAACAAGCCCATTCCCTGGAGCCACTGCTGCACGTGACTCGGGAGCCTCCTGATCCCAGAGAGGGCAAGGAATCCACTGACACTTGGAAGCCAGGCCAGCCCCTCACACTGAGAGGGCTAAAGGTGGTCATAGTACCACAGAAGGGCCCTACCCTGAACGCTCTCAGCACCTATGAGCCTTCTGGAACTCCAGGAGTCCCTGAGAGAGGATTTCCTGCAGCAGCATTTCCCAAAGTGTGGGGTCCACTCTGCTGGGGGCACAAAAGCCAACATCAGGGATGCACGGGCAGAGCTTTAATAACACTGAGTTCCAGAGAGAAAAGTTATTCCCTTTCCCATTATTTTTTAAGCTTTCTCCATCAAAGAGAATGTCTTTTCTAATACTTGCTAATCTCCTTTTTTAAGAGGAAGTTTCAGGCTCAGAAGCCTTCAGCAGGTAACAGTATCTAACTAGAATTTAACAACACTGTTTTGTTTTTATTCTATTTTTAGTTACCTTCACTTTCAGTGGCTTTCCATTTTCAGTGGTGATACTGGGTCCATAAGCAGTTTCCTTTTAAAATAAGCTTATTTTAGTATATAAAAAAAAAAGGTCAATTTGAAAGAAAATATTATATAATTATTAGCACAAGTGATGTGCAATACAGCAAAAGTCATGAAGGAGGTATGAAAACGGCCATCATTTGGGAAACAGTTTTCGGCTCTCCAACGTTTCTCCCCATCAACAACCACCTCTCTTGACCTTCTCCCATCAGAACCACCCACAGCCTCCTTCCTCCTCAGTAACATACCACATCCATCTCCACATGCACAGCTTGCACAGTTCCTCCACTACATCGTATACATCCTGACAAAGAATTTGGTGACTCATTAATTGTTTATTTCTTCAAAGACAGACTAAAAGAACTCACGGGCAGGCTCCCTGTCCACAATATCTCACCCAGTCCACTGTTCAGTATCTATTTCAGAGTTCCAAACACAGCAGAAATTTAGCAAACACCAGTTAATCTGCTGAAGACTCCATTCCCTGCCCAGTAATTTGAAGATTTTAATTTGCACAATCTGGGATCACATCCACCCCACTACACTTGCCTCCAAAAAGCCAATTTCGAAGGCACATGTTGGGGGTAGTGAAGAGCAGTATGTGTTAAGTAACCCAGAGAAAATGCTTCAGGGAGTTGGCTGAGCCCAACCTCATGGGAACTACCGAGAGTAAAGGAGCTGCCGATGAAGTGACAGACTGACTTCCTGAGTTTCATTAACTGAAAGGAGAGATGGCAGACCTGTTTTACCCCAGATAGGTCAGCTTAAGTTCTCTGAGAAGATAAATTGAAGCAAATAAGGACAGGAACGACTATGATGCTCACAAAAAAGGCATAACAAAGAAGAAATCGTCAAAGAAATGGGAGGTTTAGTCTGCAGAACAAACAACTGAATAGGCTATGATTATGTGAAGGCTATGACTCTTAAGGAGCATCGATGGCACAATGGTTAAGTGCTCAGCTGCTAACGAAAAGGGTGGCGGTTTGAACCCACCCAGAGGCTCTGCAGGAGAAAAACCTGGCAATCTGCTCCCGTAAAGATTATAGCCTAGATAACCCTATGGGGCAGTTCTACTGTCACATGGGGTCGCTATGAGTTGAAATAGACTCGACAGCACCCAACAACACCATGACTCTAACCAAAATAAGCATTAGACTTACTCTCTAATGCCCTAGAGAATGTAAGAAACCCTTCCATATGCCCCGCCAAAAATAAAGTAGGAAGTAGGAGACAAATTTTAGTTTAATATAAGAAAGAACTTCTTAACAAAGCTGTCCAGTGGTGGAGTAAACTGCCTCATAAAATAGTAAGCTCCCTGTCAAAGGAATTCTGAAGTATAAATCGGATAATCTGGTGAAGACATTTGTTATGGTCAACAACTATTTGCTGAAGACTTACCAAATGCCAGTGCCATGCTAGTCATCCAGTCTCAGATGGGGGGTTGGCCTAGGTAATTGCTGAAGTTCTTTTTCGGTGAGACTCAATCTGTCTGAATTCTAAAGATCAATTGCCACAAAGCCTCTTTACAGCTAACTACATTAATAGCATGCCATTTCCTATTTCCACACAAACTCAACCAGGAAGCTCTCCATCTTTCTAACAGGTCCTTTACAGAGAAAACCCTCATCTCAGTAAAGCAACAGCAACAGCGCTGGGTTCCACGGTTTGCAGAAACACTTGACCCCACAATCCTCAGCTGGGCCTCCTGGGTCCAGGTCAGAAATAGGCATTTTCCTCTTCTCCGCCAGCAGCAGCCCTCAGGGCTGGCGACCCATCCAGGAACCCAGAACATGTCCAAGAACCAACAGAAAGCGATCGATCAGTCCGGAATTTCGAATCCCGGTTCTGGGAGCACATGCAGCCCTTACCTTCCACGGAAGGGGAGAAAATGATGAGATTGTCATAGAGGAACTCCCCGTACTTAATGAGGGACAGGCTGGGGTCATCAGCTGTCTTAAAGGTGAGTTCAAAACCTCGGTCTGCAGAAAAAAACACGGGTTCAGGCAGATGGAAAGCAAAGGAAAGCCTGGCTGCAGAGGCCAGACCTGGGCGGCCCGCTCGTGGAAATCGAATGGGAGGGAGGACGGCGGACGCTCTCCAGCTCAGGCGCCTTTCCAACCAGGGACCCTTACCCACCGCCCCCTCGGACCCCGCTCTCACTCTTCAGGCTCCCGAAGAACAGTGAATGCGTCTCCCGCAGGTTGAGATTGTCCAGCAGCACTAAGGTGCGGGGACCGCTGGCGCAGACCGGGCCAAGCAAGGGCAGCAAAAGCCACAAGAGAGACCGGGCACGGGCCCCGGTGCCGGCCTCCATCTTCTTCCTCCTGCCAAAGAGCCCAGCACTTGGGCACCGGAAGTGCCCCTTCCATGGTTGCCCAATAGCGGCTCCCGGCCGTGACATTCCACCCGGAAGTGATCGGAAAACGTCGGGGCCGGGCGTCTGGAGCTGCAGCTTTGGCGGTACAGAGTGTGGAGCCCCACCGGACGTTCCCTGGTCGGAGGCGGATTCTCTTAATTCTATTGGCAGAAGGGGCTCTTGGCTCCGCCTTCCCAACGGAAAAGGCGCAATCCTAGAGAGACAGCTCTATAGCCGTGGCCAATCAACAAAGCTGAGCGCCCTTTGGCTTCTCCCACCGGATTCCCGCCCCCTGGTCCCGAAACCCCATCCCTGAGGAACTTAGCAGTGGGTTCCGTTTCTTCATTCATCACACTGACCCTGGCCTCTGCGGGCTTGTCCGTCGCATCCCGGAAGGAGTCTAGGACGGCGTCGGTGGCCACCCCGGACCATTTCCTGGGTCCTCATTGGTGGGAGGCCAGGGCAGACTCAGGATTGGGAACTTGAGTTCCCAGGGAGAAGAGGTTGCACAAATAAGATCAGGGACAGGAGCGTTTTGAATCTCTTAGCGCTCACGGACCCAGGTGCCAGGCACGGTCCTGTCTTGCCCAGCCTGGTGGCCCACGCTAGAGGCACCATGGACAGGCGGTGGACTGGCCTAGCAATTTAAAAGTTCTGGTAACAACAGTTTTGGAATCAGAGCTAGGTTCAACATCCACTAGCACTGCTACCCGGACATGTCTCTCCAGGCCAGTGTCCTTGGCTGAAAGTAGGGATAATAGCTAGGTCTAGCTCCCTACTTATCTGTGTGCCTTTGGGAGAGCCATTTCTCTCCTTTCTGGACTTTTGGGAGGGCAGGTTTTTTTCAAAGCAGGTTTTTAAGCGCTTAGCACCATAGGGCCAGGCTGAACATTCTCTCAGTATGCTAGAATGACACAAAGGCCACCCAGCTCACCTCAGACCTGGCTCAGTCCCACCATGTGTCTGAGTAAAAGCTAGCACAAGCAGCTCCAAGGTCTCAACTGATCTCTGAGTCTCAACCACAGTCTTGGGGCAAATAGTGAAGGAAATAGTAGCAAGAAAAGGCGGCATTTCTTTTCTGACCTTTTACATTTGTCCACCAAGCCAAGAATGAGGGGCAAAAATCAAAACCCTCCAAGCACTCCCTTAAGTATTCTGCTTCCTCTCTACCCCTAGTGGCTCAATGCCAGGTGAGGATTCTCACCCAAAACTCCTGTATAGCTGCCCAGTTGTTTCTCCCTCTGCAGAGATCAATTCACCTCAAGCTCAGACCCAATTGTGCCAATCTGTGCCTAGGAGTCTGGCACAGCTCAAGGGTCCCAAAGGCTCTTCGTGCTCAGGTATCCACCTCAACTCACCTTGCAGCCTTATCCCCCTCAGTCCCTGCTCAGGGCTTCCACGGAGCCGCCATCTTCCAGCCTTTAACATTCCCTGAGCTTCCCCACCTCTTGGCTTTTGCTCATGCAGCTCCTACCAGGCACACCCGCCCCACACTCAAGCCTCCCGGGATCCTCCCCATCCTTTGCGGCAGACCCACTCAGTGCTGCTCCCTTCACAAGGGCACTTCTTGTTCCCCTAAAGACTTAACCTACCAAAACCCGTTGCCATCGAGTCAGTTCCAACTCACAGCAACCCTATAAGGACAGAGAAGAACTGCCCCCATAGGGTTTCCAAGGAGCGGCTAGTGGATTCAAACTGCCAACATTTTGGTTAGCAGCCAAGCTCTTAACCACTAAAGAGTTAACCTAGCCTCCTCTAATTCAAAGGACACCCTACAGCCTGCCTCTAGTGAGACTCGTCTCTGACGTTACCTCAGCACCCTCCACTCTGGCTTCTCCGGAGTGTGGGCTCCTTGGCTCGGATCTGTGCCTGGTGGGGCCTAGCACAGTAACTGATACAAAACAGGGAAAGAGGCACTAACATGGAGCACCTACTGTGTGCTGGGAGCTTTACACAGGATCACATTTAACCCTCACAACAACCCTATGAGTGGGTATCATCCTCATTTCACAGATGAGGCACAGGGAGTGAAATGAAGGTCAGGACAGCACTAAAGGCCAAGCCTTTCCCCTCAGACTGTGAGGCTTCCCCCATCCCAGGAGGCCTGGGATACACTGGGCAAGGAGAGGGGGTGTCCTAGGTATCCAGGGAGACCTGGATTCATTTCTGGCCATGTCAGGATGCCCAGATCAGGCGCAGCCCCTGAGGATGGTCAATACTTGGGCCTTTCCCTGGCCTCAGCAAGACATGGCCTCTATTTTCCAAAACAGTGGTTCTGCTTTCCAAGATCACAACTTTACGAATCTAATGAAAAGTTCACACAATATCCCCAGAAAAATGCACTTATACTCATGATTTCAGGGGGCTACATAGAAACCCTGGAGCCTTTGTTCTTACCATCTCCCCCACCCAGAAATGGTGTTCCCATGCAGGCCAGGCAACCATGGCGGGGGGTGGGGGGGGCGCCCAGGGACACTGTCAGGGATCAAGCAGGGGAGTTTGTCCTTAAAAGGCAGTTTATTGGGGCCACTGCACAATCAAGGGCCACAGACCAGGAGGCAGCAGGCAGGACAAGAGCAGCTGCACGAGGACTCCTTCAGACCCATCTCCTTTCAGAAGGGTGCTCCTTGGCAGGGCTTCCCTCAGAAAGTGGGGCATCACTTCTCAATTGCCAAGATGGTGAGCTTCATGCACATGAAGGTTGCTGCACACTGTTGGGGCCACTGGAAAGGCCCCGAGGAAGGGCTGGGGCAGGGCTGAGGCTCCCTAGCCCCTTGAGGCAGGGACCAACATGGTGGGCACAGACACAGGCTCCAGGCAGGCAAGCAGGTGGAAACACTGATGTGGTGTGGAGAGCTGGAGTGGGTCCAGCCTCTGAGGGGCTCACGCCCCAGGCAGAGGCTCAGCCCTGGCTGGGCTCTCTAGGGAACAAGGAAGGGACTATGTCTTCCCAGGGCTGAGGGCCCCCCTGGGGCCCTGGGTCTCTGTGGTGGGCAGGTGGGGGAGGCCTGGCTGGGGCTGCGCTGGGAGGGCCTGGCAGTCTCAAGGAAGCCCAGCGGCAGGGCAGCAACAGGCAGCTGTGGTCACAGAGGCTCACTGCCAAAGTTGCTTTTGCTTTTCTTGCGCTTGGCCTTGGTGAAGGGGATGTCAAGGGACTCGAGGCGGAAGGGCCGGGGCTGGGGCATTTCGGGGGCCTGGGTGGGCGAGATGGCAGAGTTGTTGCTGAGGGGGGAGTTGAGGCCTGGTGGTGAGTTGTGATGAGCTGTGGAGAAGAAGGCAGAAGGTGCTGGTAAGGCAGGAATGCTGGGAATGGAGAGAAAGAAGGGTGAGAGGCTGGCCCAACCCCTCCCAGCCAGCGGCCCCAGTCTTGCAGCTGGAACCCCAAGTTCTGAGAAGCTGCTCTGGTCGAGGTCTCAGACTCAGCACTACATCCTAGTGCAAGGATCCGGGCTGGGGGTTTGGAGTTCTCGAGCCTCAGACTGAGGCAGCCTGGGATCTCAAGCCAGACCAGTCTGGGTTCAAAGCCCAGCTCCTTGGGTGAGTCTCTTCACCTTTCTGAGCCTCAGTTTCCTCATCTGTAACATGGGCACAGTGCCAGGTACTCAATCGATGCTAGTTTCTTTCCTGTCCTATTTTCTCCTCATTCCCCAACTCCACCTGCTCTGTCTCTTAAATAGCCTCACTACAGAATGAATTTTTTTTTATATTTATGGGAAGCTCTGTCGTCTTTGATTTTAAGTTTAAAAGCAGAAGGATGAAGTGATTTTCAATTCTTTCTTTTATAACTGTTTGCTTTTGTGGCCCTTCTTGTCCCCTGGCTCAGTGGTCCTTGACAAATACAGGTAATCATCCCCAGATGGAGGAATTCCCAGCACCAGGTCTGAGGAAGGAGGTGAGCAACTGACACAGGCCAGCAACCCCATGCCCCGGCCCCAAGCTGTGTGCTGAGGGCCGACTCTGTGGCAAGGGAGACAGATAAATCAAACACAGCACCTTCCCCCAAGGAGAGAAAGAGGAGACTATGGACTGAGCACCTACTCTGTGCCAGGCCCCGGGCTGGGCCGTTTCCTCACCTCATCTCGTCTAATCCCAAAAAATAGGTGTTAACCCTCATTTTATAGCTGAGAAAACTGAGGCTCAGAGAGGGATTTAGGTTTGCCTGACCTCCGAATCCAACCCGTCATGCCTCTGCCAGTTGGTAGAGGGCCAGGAATAGCTCTGGGGAAGAGGCTAGAGGAGAGGAGGCTGGGCACAAGAACAGGGGTACTCACTGAGGCTCTTCATGGGATCCGTGCTGAGGATCTGGCTGGCCCTCTTAGGTCGGAAGTAGTTACTGGCAATATTTTCACTGTCACTCCGACTGAGCATCAGCTTGTAGCGGTCTTCTTCCTGCTAGGATTTCCAGTCTCCATGGGTAAAGCTGCCTTGTTTGTGCACTCCTCATCTGGGCCTTTACTTAGGGCTCAGTGGCCTCTGGAAGCCTGGTGGGGTGGGGGCTGCTCTGAGCCTCCCCTAGCCTGTGTCACAGGGGTGGAGCAGTCGCTGCCCACTCTGGTGTACCTTATCACAGACCCCGGATTCCAGGGTTAAGATCCCAGGCAGCTAAGGCCAGGGGGGTCACAGTCTCCTGGCAAGCCTACCTCTCACCCCTTCCTTGGGATGGGAAGTGCCTTCTTCCCTGGTTGAATCAGGCAAACCTCAATACAGGGTATCCTGCCAGCGCCAACAGGGGTATGGGTGATATTTTACACCCCAAACCTATCACTTCATAGAAAAGGTAGTACAGTACTCAGTACATGGGTACATTTATGATCATTGTAGGTAGAGTCCCAACCCTTTCATCACTATTATTTTTCACTGCCATAGTGGACTTGGAGCCCTGGTGGTGTAGTGGTTAAGAGCTCAGCTGCTAACCAAAAGGTTGGCAGTTCAAATCCACCAGCCACTCCTTGGAAATCCTATGGGGCAGTTCTACTCTGTCCCATAAGGTCGCTATGAGTTGGAATTGACTGCAGCGGGTTTGGGGTTTTTTTTGTTTATAGTGGACTTGTTCTCTTCAACCTGAATCTTTTCCTTCAGGGAACACCTTCTCCCACTTGATCTGGTCCTGGTGGGGTTACCATTCATACTGTCCTGACACCATGTC